AGATTCTTGGTAAACAAGAGGGTGAAATGTTATCAAGGCTAGGTGGGACTTTGGATTTGATCTTACAATCAGATCAGCCATGATCATATTGAAAGGTAGAGCAGGCCAAGGGGCTGAATGGCCTATTGCTGCTCCTAATTCATATGTTCACATGGAGAATGGAGCTGAAATTCAAAGGTGAGGTGAGAGTCACTGCCCTTGGCATCAAAGTAAATTTGTCCAAGTATGGCATCAAGGAAGCCTAGAAAAGCTGGAGTCAATTGAAATCAGGGCAAAAACTCTCTACTGGTTGGAGTCATGTCTGGAATGTAGAAAGGTAGCTGTGGTTCTGGGAGGTTAGTCACCTCAGCTCCAGGACATCTCTGCAGGAGTTCCTCAGTGTAGTATCCATGGCCTAACCATCTTCAGCTGCTTCATCAATGACCTTGCTTCCATCTTAAGGTCAGAGGTAAAGATAATTCGTTGATGAATGTACAATGTTCAGCGCCATTCACGACTTCTTAGGTACTGAAGCAGTCCAGGTTCAAATGCAAGAAGATCTGGACAGTATTCAGGCTTGAGTTAATAAGTGGTAAATAACATTGCTGCCATAGAACTGCCAGGAAAGGTCCATCTCCAGAAAAAGAAAAGCCAACCATTGCCCTCTCACATTCAATCTTCTTACCATTAATGAAGCCAACACTATTAATATCCCAGAGGTTACTATTGATCATTATCAGAACTGGGTTAGCCATATAGATACTGTGGCTACAACATAAGTTCAGAAGTTGAAAGTCTGAGGTCTCTAACTCACCTCCTGACTTACCAAAACCTGTCAACTCTCTACAAGGCACAAGTCAGGAGTGTGATGGACTATGAATGCAGTTCCAAAAATACTTAAGAGGTTGACATCTCCAGAGCAAAGCAGTCACTTGATTGGCACCTCATCTAACACCTTCGACATTCACTCCCCCTCCACCACTGACACTTTGTAGCAGCAATGTGTACCATCTACAAGTTGAAGGAACATATCCAGGATACTTGAATAGCACCTTCTAAAACTGCAACCTCGACCATCTAGAAGGACAAGGGCAGCAGATATATGGGAGCACCACCATCTGCAAAGTCCCTATCATGCCCCTTACCATCCTGACTTGGAAGTGTATCACTGTTTCTTCAAAACCACCGAATCAACAGCCTTCCCAACATCCCATGGACTGCAATGGGTCAAGAAGCAGCTCACTACCATCTTCTCCGGGGCAATTAGAGACGAATAATAAATACTAGCCCAGGCAGTGACACACATATCCCATGAATTAACATTAATAAATGTGAATACATTTTATGATTCAGCAGATGAAAATATGTGCCAAGAATTCTGATGCAGAGATGCAGTTATTTTAAGAGACCGGTATTTTTTCAAAGAAATGTACATAATATCAGGCACGTGAGCACAGAAAGACCTGGGCAGAATTTTAACCACAAACTATATCAAACACAATTATCGTTTCCGTGATTTTTTGCAGTTACTTGCAAAATAATTTGGGAGCAGCATGGTGGCTCAGTGGTTAGCACTGCTGCCTCACACCTCCAGGGATCCAGGTTTGATTCCACCCTCGGGTAACTGTCTGTGTGGAGTTTGCACGTTTTTCTCATGTTTGTCTGGGTTTCCACCCGGCGCTCCGGTTTTCTCCCACAGTCAAAATATGTGTAGGTTAGGTGGATCGACCATGCTAAATTATCCACAGTGTCCAGGATTGTGTTGTGTAGGTGGATTAGCCACAGGAAATATAGGATTACAGAGATGGGATGTTCTTCAAAGGGTTGGTGTGGGCTTGATGGGCCGAATGGCCTGCTTCCACGCTGTAGAGATTCTACAATTTAAACAAAAGGCACAAAAGGCATTGGCCCCACTCCAGAGTTGGCCAAGTTCTGGCTCAATTAACCATTGTTTGATTTTATCCAAACTGAACTTCTTACAGGTACCAAGATACTGATTACACAGCTGTTACTAATAAATGCTGTTTATACTAGTTATTTTTAGATGTTTAAAACTGGATTGCTCTGGCTAAGAATGCTTCATGTTTTTTTGGCAAAATATATTTAATGCTGTATTAATCAAATTATGTGACTGCTATTCTTAAGTATATCGAGGATGTTTTTCAGTGCAGAAATCTTTCTTTGCAATATTTACATTTTGAAACTCTGCCCAGCTGTGGTGGTTTGTAAATGTTTTAGATTCAAAAAATGTAAATAGTTTTGAACATTTCCAACACAGTTTTGAGTATAATTTTGTGGCCACTTTGCTGATTGCAACCAAAGAGTTGGTCATAGAGCTTAAGGTTCCCAATTAGTAACATTCAGAACAAGAGAAGACTATTCAGCCCCATCAGTTTACTCAATTCTTCAACTGGATCATGGCTGACCTGTAACGTTATTCACTCCCCTTGGTCCCGTACACCTTATAATGTTAACTAACAGATTCACTTTACAAGCTCTAGCACCCACGCACCAGACTTCTACTCCTGCCAATATTGTGAGAAAAACATACTTCCTGATTTAGAGTCATAGGGTCGTACTGTATGGATGCAGATCCTTCGGTCCAAATAGTCCATGTTGCCCGTATTCCCAAACCAACCTTCCCACTTGAATAATAGAATCATGTAAAGATAGTTCATCTGCGTTTTTACTTGATTTTTCAGCACCTGAGACGAATGTTTACAAAGACTTTTACTGTATACTATCACCAAATGGATAACTAGATGTGTATACTTACATTTATATTCATATTTACATTTATACCTACCTTATATTTCTCCCCTGAATTATCCCACTCTAATTTTATTATATTCCTCTTCTCCACCAACTCCATTCCCTTGATTTCACTGCCAGTGGAGATAGATTCTTCATATTTATTTTAATAAATCCTTTTACAATTAGAACCACCTGAATCAGATCATGCCTCAATCTTCTTAATTCAAGGGAATATAAAATAATACAAATTAAGATAATTTTCAGAGGATATTCACTAAGGAGACAGAGGAAAAGTTGCATAGCATTAGACCTCAAGGATTTGAGAGGAATATCTTTGTGCTGATTAACGATTAGTTAATGCACAGAAAGTAGAGAGTGAATGTCAGATTGTCAGGTTGTAGCTAAAGCAATGCTACAAAGATCAGTTATTAGACCTCAGCAATTTATCATCAATGTTATTGGCTTAGATGAAGGGACTGTGTATAATGTATCCAAGATTGCAAACAATACAAAACTTAATGGGAAGGTACAGGCTGCAAAGCATTATAGACCAGCTATTTAACTGGGCAAGAATGTGGGAGATTGAATAATATGAAATTAACCTGAAATAACTGCATGGAGGCCAGTATCCCATCACCAAGTCACCCTTTATTTACTTGTGCACAGTACACTGGCTGTGGCCATCCAGCTCGGAGTCAGTCCCCTGAATTGGTCCCCTGTTCATATTGGTCAGCCAGGGCTTCCTGATTGGCCCAAGTTAACAACCCCAATCAACTATCTCATAGTCAACAAGATCCACCCAGTTCCAATCACTACATAAACAATTTGGTCAGCTGGATACAGAAGCAAAGTAGTTTCTAACGTTTGAGAGACAAGTAGATGTGGATATCCAGAGGGATTCTTATACATGAATCACAGATAGTTAACACACAGGAATATCAATTAATTAAGAAGGCAAACAGCATAGTTGTGCTGTCATACAACACAATGCAGGCTACTCACATGGACTCCATGCAGCAGTTGCTCCTACCAGTACTGAGATGGGTAGATTGTTGAGGACCAGGTAAAGTAACCTTTCCCCCATGTAAGCTTTTTCACTACCTGAAACAGATTCAATCCATTTCTTTTGGCCAACACAGCCAGCAGTGTCATTGAGTCACTCTTGGTGATTGATATTGGAGTTCCCTGCACCAGAGTTTACTTTGTCCTTTGTTACCCATTATACCTCTTCCAAATGGTGCTCAACATGAAGTAGTACTGATTAATCATCTAAGAGAGGTGGGTTAGAGTTAGGTTTCTTTGCCCATCATGTCTTGGACTACATGTTATTTGGAGTCACGGTCGAATGTCCCCTCGTATCACTGCTTCCAGTTTGTATATCATTGTCCTGTCATGATCACTGCTGGGACCATAACTGTTTACAATATATATCAATGCCTTGGAAGAAGGAATCAAATGTATTGTAGCTAAATTTGAAGGTGACACAAAATCAGGTAGAAAGGAAAGTTGCGAGAGGGATACAAAGAGTCTACAGTGAGATATCAATAGGTTACATAGGCAAAACTTATACGCGTGGAATTGGAGTATAATGTGGGAAAACGTGACGTTGTTCATTTTGGAAGGGAACAAAAAAACAGAATATTATTTAAATGGAGAAAAACTGCAGAAAGCTGCAACACGGAGTGACTTGGGGATACTTGTGCATGAAACATAGATGCAGCAGGTAATCAGGAAGGCTAATGGAATGTCAGCCCTTATTTCAAGGAGGTTGGAGTATAAGAGTAGGAAAGTCTTACTGCAACTGTACAAGGTGCTGGTGAAACCACATCTGGAGTACTGTGAGCAGTTTTAGTCCCCTTATCTAAGGAAAGGTATCATTTCACTGGAGGCAGTTCAGAGAAGGTTTGCTAGGATGATCTGATCCAGGGTAAGGAGAGATTGTCTTATGATCAAAGGATCAACAGATTGGGACTCTACTCATTAGAGTTTAGAAGTAAAAATGAGAGATGATCTAATTGAAACATATAGGATTCTTAAGGGGCCTTACAAGGTAAATGCTGAGAAGATGCTTCCCCTCACGGGAGAGCCTAGGACCAGAGGGCACTGTCTCAGAATAAAGAGCTACTAATTTAAGACTGAGATGAGGAGGAATTTCTTCTCTCAGAGGGTTAAGAGTCTTTGGAACTCTTTGCCACAGAGAACTGTCGGGGCAGAGCCCTTGTGTATATTTAAGGATGAGGTAGATAGATTACTGATCAGTACAGGAATCAAGGGTTATGGGGAAAAGGCAGGAAAGTGGACACAAGGAATGTCAGATCATCAATGATCTTATTGAATAGTTAAACAGGCTCAAAGGGGCATATGGCATACTCCTGTTCACATTTCTTCTGGTCACATCTGGAGGTTTTTTCCTGTAGGTGAAATGAGACATTTCAAGGCATGCTGATTGAGGTGATGGGAAATTGGCTGAAAGATATGTTTTGATCAGCACGACTTTGTCAGAGTGTCACTTCACTTGTCTGGGGGACAGCTCCTCCAGTTTTGGCACAAATTCCCGCATTTTAGTGAGGAGGACATTACAAAGTCAACTGGTCTTTGTACCCTTTTGGTGCATAGATCAATGTCTGGTAGTCTACTTGGTTCAAATTTATTCAATGTTGATGTAGAGGTTTGATACAGTTAAATAGCTTGCTGGAATATTTCAGAGAGTAGCTAAGAGGAAACCACATTGCTGTAGATATGGAGTCACATATAAGTCAGACTGGGGATTTCTTTCCCTAGAGGTTAGTAGTGAATCAGACAAATTTTTGTAACAATCTGGTAATGCTGTCATTATTGATACAAGCTTTTTATTCCAGATTTACTCATTTACTAAACTTAAATTTCCCAGCTGCTGTGCTTCAAATATATGTTTCCAACTATTACTCTAAACCTCTGGTTACTGATCCAATAACATAACTACTGCACTAGTGTATCGAAAATAACATATTAATACATTTTACACAGTTTAGGAAAAAAATTGCAGTGAAAAGACACATTAAAAGCATAAGGGATATGTGCAGTGTTTAATTCTATTTCAGTGAGGTGTTCTATCTCTTGTTCCTGCTCTTTTGATGGAAGTTCATGAGAATTATTGCGTTTAAGTCTGCACACTATTACCGGTTTTAACTTCAGAGGCATCAGTGCACAGACAGTTTCATCTCTCAGTTTGACCATAGGCGTGCAGAAACAGTCGGACTCCAATCGCTGTACATGCCATTGTCAACAAAATCCTTTGCTGCGATTTTTACAAAGTATAAAGCTTTGGATCGCAGGCCATTCAGGATATAACTAGCTTGATCGTTGATCTCAATCTGTGGGTTGGAGAAGAATGAAGGAGCCAAGTCATCGAAAGCCTAAAGGTAACATAACAATTGACAATAATGGCCCATATATTCCAATGGCCAGATAGACATTGGAACAGACAGGAGATGTGCTTCGGGATCCAGTGAAATCCCAAATGCAGCAGATTCCATGGGAGACACCCAGGAAATTCAAGTTTCTGATGGATCATTCCCCTGCATCTGGTAGCATCCCAAACAAAACCCCTTAATGTCAGAGAATTAACTTAACAGAAGAAGAACCCTCTGAATTCTCCAACAATAAAGCTTATTTTTCATTGGGTTCCACTCCTGTTAAGTTAATAGCTACCCAGAAAAGGTTAAAAAATTAAAAACTTAGTCTAACTCCTTGGCAACTATTAAGCTGACCTCCAAGTACACCTGTCCCAGCCCTTTACACATCCAGGCTCCTGACAACCACTTCTCCTCAACAGTGACTAACCCAACCCACCACTCTGGATCTTAAACCTCCTTCACTCATCTGTCCTGAAACCAAGGAACTGACACCCCCGCACCTTCCACCCCATGTCACTCCATCAGCCTACCCATCACTCCCCTCCAGCCACCCTGACATCTATCACCCAATTGACACACCACCAGCCCCCAACATGCCTGAAAGACTCCATTACTCAGCTGGCACCCTACTCACTTGACATCCTTTTTCTCTGGCACCCTGACACCTAGCACCCTTGTACATTACACACCTGGCACATTATATTCCTAGCACTCTAAATATCTAGCACCTTGCACCTTACCCACCTGGCACATTATGCTCCTGGCACCTTTCACCTGACATACTATGTTCCTGGCACTGTACCTATCTGTCATCCTGACACCTGGCACTCTTGCAACTTACAGACCTGGCATACTGCATTCCTGACACCCTACCCATCTGGCACCCTATGCCTTAACCAATTGCCACCCTAATTCCACATTTAGCTTTATAAATCTATTCCTTCACAATAGCTGTCTCTGTGACTGGCTGTGTTGCTAGATAATTAAATCTCAGAACATGGCACATTGACTGCTGAGAAAGGGGTTTGGTTTGACTTCCCTCACCCGGCTATCTTGTACCAATGGGAATCTGTGCTCATTTTAACTGCAATCTGCATTTCCAAAGGAGCCAAGATCAGAATTCATGGCTAGAAACATAGAGATCACTAACAATTTGGAAAATGAGAGTGGAGTGGCAATCCAACTGTAATTGTTACCCCTTGGATTATCTAGGTCAAGTTAATGAACAACAGATAGTACCAAGGGACAAGATCCTTGGATCACATTGAAGCTTCATAGCACAGGCTAATCTCTGAATTCTGATCAGTGTCATCTGCGTTTACAAACCACGGAGTTAGTGAGAGTGGACAGTCAGTTCCAAACACATTTCTGATTTAATAATTCCCAGACTGGCAGGTTTTTCACTGGGTTTTGATGAATTCATTTGGGAGGGCAGTAGCAAACTAGATAAATAGTTTTGGTGCAGTTTATTTTTCAGTCCAGTGTCTTTGAGTTACTGATACCTCTGGGTAAAAACATATGCTCCCAACAGAAATCTGACTCGACATGTTGGCTGATGGAGATCACATAGCATGAGGACAAAGGCTACAACTGATGCAAATTGCTTGGAACAGTCTTCTTCCTAAATTTAAAGAAACTCTAATGAAAACAAAATTCATTCACATTTGCAACAATATCTTTACAAACATGATGATGGTTTGAGTCCCAGTGTGTTACAGCATTCCCATACAGGAATGAAGAGAATAAATATTTTCAATTGGTGAGAGAAAAACAGCTTTTGTGTATTGCCAATGTTATAATTGCCACATAGTCCATTGCAAATAGTTACTGTTAACACGCACATCCCTGGATAACTCAAAGACTCCAGTCTGTCTTACCTCGAAAGTGGAACTTGTACCTTGTGACTGAGATGAAGGGGTTTCACTTGAAAGCATGAACAGGTAGATTATGGGCTGGAGCAATCATTTATTGGCCAAACTATTATTTCTTAACTATGATAAAAGTTCTTTGGTGCCAATTGTGTATGTTCACTCCTGGAGGTGCTAGATGTTCCTACTGGCTTCAGGATCCCAATATCAGGACCAAATGGAGCTCCTTACTTACTGATCACAAGAGCAGTACAACAGTCACCTGGGAGTTGGCTTCCTAATTGGCTAATGGCACTTCACACTATCATTGTGTGGACCAGTTGCAAAGCAACAAGACAAAAGCAAGCCACAGATGTTTGATTCTAGAATGTGATTGATAATGAAGAGACCTAATTTATATTAATTTTGGAAGCTCTAACAGCATCCATCAATCTCATAATGTAAACACTGCATTTTAATCAGAGACATAGTTTCTTGTGCATTGACCTGACTGACTCATCCATGGATGTCATATGATCAGAACTCCTCTGGTCTTTGAAAAGCTTTAATTGCACATTTACAAGCCCTTATCTCTGTCTATTTTTAACAGCTAAGCGAGTTTGCTGCAATATCATAAACAGAAAGAAGGATTCAGCCTTGATAACTAAGCCAAGATCAAACTTAACTTTTCTCAAAGCCTGATATTCGGGAGACTCATTGTATTTCTTTTAATCAACCTATTCAGGCATGCTTTAACACACTTCTGGTGAAGGTGGGATTTGAATCATGGACAAATCTGGTACAGAGATGGAGGCATTACTGCTTTGCCACAACATTTTCTGTGTAGCAGAATGAGTCCCTATTCAACAACACCAACTTGCTGCATCACCTCCAACCTTAAAGGAATTCTGACACTCCAGCTACAGCAGCGTGGACATCCTTCAATTGTCTTTTAACGTTCATATGTGTAAATAGCAACATGGCGTTTTAATATTCTTCATTGCAAAACACTTTTACTTCTTGTTTGTTTCTCGTTTATGTGTCTGGAGTTGCAAAGACCAGAACAAGTTTGAATGTGAAAAATTAATACTCCTGATTTAAACCAGATGATAAGTTACTGTGAGTCATTTCTCAAATGAAGGCATTTGGGAAACCCAGATGTGGAAGTGCCGGTGTTCGACTGGGGTGGACAAGGTCAAAAATCACACGGCACCAGGTTATACTCCAACAGATTCATTTGAAGACATAGCTTTTGGAGTCTCACTCCTTCTTTAGGTGTCTTCTTTAGGAGATAGCTAAAGGTTTTAGTAGTATACCTCTAGTTACCTTTGCTCAACCTTGGGCAGTGATTGAAAGAAATTCTGGGATTTGCATATTAATCCTTTCTAACTGATTAAAGATTTCAACAGCCATCTTAGGTTTATTCAATACATTCGCATCAGTTCTATGACCCTATGATCTTTTGATTATAAATTCTGTGTCTGATGCCACCTCTCTCACTGACACCTGAAGAAGGAGCGAGACTCCAAAAGTTTGTGCCTTCAAATGAACCTGATGGACTATAATCTGACGTCTTGTGATTTTTGACCTTTGGGAAACCCAGCACAGCTTTTTTTTTAAAATTAAACCACTCTGCTTATTGACTTAAGGGGAAGAGGATAGAAGTATTCAGTCTGCCTACCTCCCATGTTTATAAGAGTTTAGCAGTGATCATTTCATATTTAGGATCACTCAGTTGGAATTCCTCACAAGTGAAAAGATCTCATTGTCTGGCCCTTGCATCAGCTTAATCATTCCATCAGGGGACTTCTTAGACTTCTCTTCCTAGAGAACAGAGCCCTTAACCTGATCGAACCGTCCTGATCGTGAGAAACCTTCAGTTCTGGTCTAATAACCTCAAACAATAACCAGAGAAGTTGTCCTCACCATCTGATATCTGGTTGATCCCTCAGGCCAGTACATTATCCTGTACTTCAACAGAAACAGACTTGGATCGGGCCACGTGGCTGGCGGCTTCCATTGCAACAATAATTTCTTTGGTTGGTTGGGTATCGGAGAAACACTGACTTCTGTTGGTGGATCTGGCTTGACTGTGGGTAAAAGAAACAGTTAGAATCCCGCTCCAAAACCATGCTTTTCAATTTTGTGAGGGATGATACTTTAATTTGGTTAGTTTTCTGTCGGCTAAACACAAATGATAACTCATTTACTTAACGTGTAAAGTATTGATTATCAAGGTTACACAGCTCACTTCCAGACATAGGCCATAGGTCACAAGATAGGTCATAGGTTGTGATATAACTGGAGACATAAATCAAGACAAATACACATCTCTGACCTTGGAATAGGCAAATCACTTCACTTACTTATCTTCTCCACAATAAATTGTGTAATAGTCGATCTGGATCCTAGAGGGTTTGTTGCTGTCACCTTCACTGTGTAGGAAATCTTTGAAAAGAGTTGGATTCTCTCGATTGTGTATTTGCCCTGCAATGCCTCTTCAGCTGAGCATTGCTTGACATCTTCAGTTCCATATCTTTCAAAATTACAGAAACATTATTGTTGGTGTGCGAATTTCTCATAAACTCCTTGACAAACAGAGGTTGCATTATTGCTGTTTCTTCGGTTTTCGATTCCACGATGACCTGAACTCTATCAGTCAGTAGGAGTCATCCCTGTGAACTGCAAAGGATGTGAGCTCACGTCTCATTCCACGATTTTGAGCATGTGGCATGAGGAAATGTCCTGATAAAATAGCGGGACCTGGTAAAGCAAGACAGAAGGGACCCATCCAGATGTTTACATGAAATGAGGATTTCGCCCCCGCTGAATCCAGGTCCCAGTTGCACCTTTCTGAGGGGGCAGGGCTACACCAGGAAGAGGAATTGGATCTTATCAAAACAGGAAAACTCATTCAGCCCAGAAGATGCTGTTCCCATCCCAACTCTAACCTTAACCCTAACCTTAACCCTAATCCTAACTCACTTCAATATCTAATCCGAAGGTTTTCACCTCCAATTCCCATCTCATTCCAAACACTTAGCAGTCTTTCAAAAAATATTCTTTCTGATAACTGCCCTTATTTACTTTCATCGACGTATCTGTCCTCTATACCAGTTCACATTGAATATTCAGCATTCATTTTCTTGGATGATATATTATTATATCACATTATATACACAGTGCATCCTTCCCCCATAGACACTTCATTGATTCACTGCCTGAAGGAAGACCCTTGGTGACCTTTACTGCTGAGAAAGGGGCAGGTTTGGGGTCTGACCAAGCTTGAATGGGAACTGAACCCTGTGCTCTTGGTGTTAAGCTGATTCGTGTGTAAGCATGAGGGGCTGTGTTTCTCAAACTCTACCCTCACCTGAAGCATGGTGACCCTGAAGTTAAGCCACGACCAGTTGTCTCTCTCTAATGAGAGAAAGCCCTATGGCCTGGTAAGACTATGACAATTTGACCTTTACCTTGACTTTTATGCTGATTCATGCGTTTATGTCTTCAACAACCGAGCTGACTGGCCTCTTCCTCCTATTACCGACCTACTTTCTAAATGTAAAGTTTGGTCATTCCTCATAGTTAGTCTCTGTACAATTGAGATTGCTCGTTATTCTTCACTGCACCTATTCCTTTCCTACCGTTTCATGAGGTGGTTAATGGAATCGAGCGCAGTTTTCTGAGTGTGTTCTGACTGAGCTACGGTCCCACACAACATCTTAGCTTAAGTGCCTGAAACAAAAATACAGATTGCTGGAAAAGCTCAGCGGGTCTGGTAGCATCTGTGAAGAGAAATCAGAGTTAAAATTTTGGGTCCGATGACCCTTCCTCAAACCCTTATTTTAACTCTCGACTAAGCAAAGTTTGCTGCCTACTCTCACTCCCACCTATGTACCACTTCTAAAATAATTTACACTTCCTCTTCTCCTTTAAGGTCTCCATCCCTCCTCACCTTTTCAAAAATGTCACCTGATCTCCCTGTGACAAAGTATCCATGTTCCCATTGTATTCCGTGCTCCTTTTGAATCTTCTTCCTCTGGATCAGTGACAATTCAGATTTAATGCTCCCACAATATTAACTCCCCATTCAGAGGAAACAGAGACTGGAATTCTCTTACCTGTAGGAGACATTGATCCATGTGGGAAGGTAGGTTTGATTTTCCAGCTTCCACAAGCAGACCACATTCAGAGGATATCTCACTGATCGACAGGTGACCTGAGGCTTTCCTGGTGGATCTGCCATTCGGAAATTAAAATAGGAAATTACAACACTAAAAATATGAAGTAGCAGTGACTCTCAGTTTCTCTACTCTAGGTTTATTAAATCACAAGTGGTAACATGGAGGCAGTAGGGGAGAGGAGGTGGGGTAGGGTTGAAGGGTGGAGGGGAAAGGGGCTATTTTCACCAATCCTAGGAAGCCCACAGAAATAGGCAACAGTGGTTGCTCTCTGAAGGGGTAAATTACTCCAAGATGTAAAACCAGTGTTGGATTGAATACCATCGGTTCCTGAACAAGCAACAAAAGTTGTTACACTCCCAAGGGACAGTTGGCTGCTCTCTCATTAGAGAGATGGGGAGTTTAAGCAAGGGCTGTCATAGCTCAGTTGAAGTTGAGAGGATAGTCTTTATGGGAATTGAACACCTCACTCTGCATTGCAAACCAATCTTCTAGCCAACGGTACTAACCCAACCACACAAGTTAGTTTAGGATTGCCCTCATTACTATGTAAGTAAACATCTGATTATCCAGCCAAGAGTTGTCAAATCTGGTACACAGTATCAGTGTGACATGTTTCCAAACTGCCAGATAAAGAGTGAAGCTCTCTGTGCAACTAACAGAGTCATAACTCCTTGATTTTAATGAAGCAATGTGAATATATTCATATCCCACAGTCATTAATGTTGACAGTCAACTGTCCACATGCATTGGATGATGGATCTTTAGTTATTACATGCCTCAATTGTACCATATTAGGTAAACTCACTCATCCACTGACCAGCCTGTAGATTCAAACCAGGAATGCAGGTGAAGTCACTGTCATGTGGTGAGGTGTTATGCATAAAGATAAAGATATTTTGCTTTGTTTACACAGGGCATTGACAAAACCTTATCGTGAATAATAATAAGGTGGATGTGGAAGATTTGATTCCTCTTGTGGGTCAGTTTGGTTGATGATGTGGCTGTGATGTTAAGGTGATGGGCTATAAGTCAATTCTGCTCTGCATACTTATGCTCAAACCAGCTGCCATTTGCTGGGGAATTGGTGGCCAAATGGCATTGTCATTAGGCTAGTGATCTAGCAGCCCAGGCTTAATGCTCTGGGGGTATTGGTTCAAATCCAACCATAGCAGAGAATAAGCTTTCAAATTAATTAAAAAGGAATCTGGAATTAAAGTGCTCATCTAATGTTGATCATGTGACCACTGTCCATTGTCATTTTAAAAAAAATTGGCTCACTAATGCCCTTCAGGAAAGAAATCTACTATTCTTACTTGGTCTGGTGGTGGTCTATGCATAACTCCAGACCCAAAACAATGTGACGGACTTTTGTTTGCCGTCTGAGCAATAAATGCTGGCACCAACATCCAATGAATGAATGAAAGTCCAAAAGCAGGGTTTACTGTTTCAACATTTGGGTGACTTTGTTTCCCACTGATTCAAAAATAATGTATTCCACTCCAGCAGCTTTGTTAGTACAGCTGTGCGTTTTAATCCTACTTTGAATGCTTGGCTGTGTTCCAAGAACTTTACTAGTATCAGAAGTAGTTGATACTGTTGTGTGATGCAATTTCGTGTCTTAGTTATAAACTGGTTGAGTGTATCTCAGAAAAGTGTATAAAACCTGAGGGTGTAAATTGGGGTGGGTTTAAATCAAGCACCTGTAAACTGGGCTGCTGCAAATTGAACAGTTGCAAATCATGAGTATGTAAAGTGAGCTGCTGTAAATCAGGTTGGTGTAACATGTGAGTGTGTAAATTGTGGATGTAAATCAGACAGGTGCAAATCATGAATGAGAAAATTGGGCTTGTGTGAATTGGGTAGGTGTAAACTGAGTGAGTAAACTAGGAAGATGTAAATTGAGTGGGTATAATTCTGATGGATGGAAATCAAGGACCCAAGTATGCAATCCCTACAGTGTGGAAGCAGGCAATTTGGCCCATCAAGACCACACTGATCCTCTGAAGAGCAGCCCATGCAGACCCACTACCCTACTCTATCCCTGTAACCTTGCATTTCCCATGGCTAATCCACTTAGCGTGCACATCTCTGGACACTATGGACAATTTATCATGGCCAATCCCATCTAACCAAAACATCTTTGGACGGTGGTAGGAAACCAGAGCAGTCAGACCCACACAGACACAGGGATAATGTGCAAACTCTACACAAGCAGTGACTAGAGGCTGGAATTAAACCCAGGTCCCATGAGGCAGCAGTGTTAACAATGAGCCACCATGGCACCCCTGTGTAAATGATGGTCCCTGGAGGCGGTCAAAGTGACTGTTAAACCTCAGCGTGTGTGGATTTACTGAAATTTCCACAATCTGGGAAACTCTGCCAAGGAATAACATTGAATGACAAAAAGCTTCATGAAATTAGCCTTAAACTTACAGCCTAACATCAATGAGATTGTTCTGTAAGTTCTGCCTGACTCTGGATTGCGACATCTGTATTGACCTTCTTGGGACACATCGATGTTGAAAAGAGTGAGTTTTGTTCTTGTTAGTTCCACATTTCTGGTCTGAATGATTTTTGAGTCATTCAGCTGCCATTCAACAGCTCCATTATCTATGTTGCCACAGGTGAGTGTGACACTTGCTCCAATCTGACCATACTGTGTGACAACGTCTGAAATACAAACAGAAATACTGAAGGTTTGATCAGAACTCAGTCATATATGCCATTTTGCGGTGAAAACTTAACTCGGTCTCTCCTGCTGTTACATAGTACAATACTGGACCCAATCTCAATCATTGGACTGCAGTGAGTTAGGCGAAGGCATCTTGGCAACACTGTAAATATCTTCAGTATCCCTAAGGGTTCACAATCCCATATTAGAGGGCAGCCAGTTCCCACTCATGATCACTACCCTGCTGGGAGATAGCAAGTGTGGTAACGTCAGATTAGGGAAGATTAAGAACATGCTGTGAGGCATTCCACAGTTGAATACCCCACCTTTATTCAGTAGCTTCACTTAGACCTGGAAACTGAAATAGCTTAATAGCTACCAGTTAGGAGGAGTTGAGGAGAGAAGAGTGAAAAAAAAACTGGAACATTTGTGCTAGCCTCGTGCATTTTGCTTAGTCTTTTAAAAATTATTGCCATTAATAATTTGCAGAATTCTCGTTCTAATGTCAATACTTTGTCTCCATGCCACCCCATCCCCTTCTTCGCTGAAGATGACCTTTATGGTGACAGAAAGGAAATTAAACAGATTGTGCAAATCGAACATTTAACTTCATTTAGCAAGCGCCATAATGATCCTTCTCAATTCCCTCATTAGGCAATGCTTGTGGGTGACAATGAAGCCAATAAGCAGCAGGTAACAGCTTCTGTATTGTCCTGATGAAACCTTGTGGTGCAATGGTAATGTGTCCTACTCCAGATCAGGAAGTTGCTTATTTCAATCATATCCAGCTCACAATACTTGAAAAGGGGCTGTTGTGGTGCAGTGGTAGTATCCATATGTTTGAGCTAGAGGGCCTGAGTTCAGGTTCTTGTCTAAGCCAGAGATATGTCATAACATATTCAGCTGATTTTAAATTATCCAGAAGTGTTGCATATTCTTTAGTGTACCAAAAATGACCAAAATATCCAGGTTCAAATCCCACCTATCATGGACAAATGCCAAAATTTCAAATCTAATGTTGATCTTGCTTTGTATTCCTTGCCCTGTTCTATCACCCTATGATCTTTGCATGGTATGATCTGCCTGTACTGCATGCTAAACAAAACTTTTCACTGTACCTAGGTACATGTGACAATAATAGATCAAATCAATTCAAACGAGTCGATTAAAAACAAGTGCCCAGACTATTCTTAAATCTACATTAACAAAATATTGGCTGCTGCAATTCAATATTAAAGATAGAAGGCATGTTAAAGTGATTGGATTCTATATCACAATGTTCCCGAAGTGATTTGAATAATGTACAACTTGATCAGAATTGAAAATGTACTTCATTCAAGAAACTTTCCAGAAAACATTCTGGGAGATAATGTCATGGGTGTGAGCTGACTTCGCTGGAAGGTAGGCCAGTAACCAGGCGACACAAATTTAAGATAATGAGTGAAACACGGACACGTGGGAGGAGGCACCTCTTTTTTCACAAAGAGCTATTAAGATGTTGAATGCACCGTCAGAAAAGGAGTATTTCAGGGCTGTAGGGAAAGAGTGGAGGAGTGATACAAATTGTCTAGATCTTTCAAGTAACCAGCAGGGGCTCAATGGGCCAAATGTCCTCATCTGTACTGTAAAGTCCTGATCAGGAGTCACATCTACATGTTACATGGAATAGTCACTATCTGGAACCGCTCAAAGTTATACTGCTTTGTTACAATGCAATTAGTTTCCATCAACATTTAAAGGAAAATATGGACACGTGTCTTTTAACCAATAGAGTATGCCACAATGTAAAGATAAAGCTACCACTGTCTTACCAGGTCATACAGTTGCTCTCTCATGAGAAAGAGAGATAATTGATGGTGGTTTAACCTGATGCCTCAGGCAAGGGGAAGATGTTAAAGAGGAAAAATCCTTTATGTTGACCTCAGCTGTTGTAGGAGTTGAGCCCACACTGGTGGTGCTACTCTTCAGTGTGAGCTGGCTGGACAGCCAACTGAACTAAACCTCACAGCAGTGCACAGCAATTAATGTTGTTACACCAGCTCCATTAATCCAGTGAGACATCCAACTGTCAACCACAGGAGCATTATTAGGTTGACAGGAGACATGACGCTCCATTAAAGAGGTAGATTGTAACCAATACATGAACAGTTTGAGCCACAGAGGTCAGAACACAGCCAGAAGCTGAGGTTTCAGCTATGGCGGGTATAAGCGCGATGGTCATGGATCAAACAAAAACAGAAAGTGCTGGAGAAACTCAGCAATCTGACAGTGTCTATAAAGAGAATAGCCAAGTTAATGTTTCAAGTCTACTGATCCTTTGACAGAATCATGGATAATGACTGTTCTATACCATGAACAATTTGGCTTTCTGTAAACTTCAACACAGGAAAAAGGTCATTGTGAAAAAGTCCCTCCTGGTATGCAATAAACTGTGAATTCACTCCCACTCCCAGTGACGTTGAGATTCTGCCTAGTTTGTACAATGTAGCAAGAGAGGGAATGGTATGAAGTGTTTGGCAGTTTTGTCACCGATTGCATCTCAATTCAATTAGATCCTTCCAGCAGATATGAAGGTATGACTCACCATCCCCAATGGCTTGCCCCACTGTTATGTCAATGATATGAAGCAGCATTATCACAGAACCAAGGATTACAGTCAGCTTCAGGTACATCCTGAATCAGGTACGTCTGTAAATCAATAAATCTTGGACACCTGTGAGCTGAAAAGCAACTATTAGACACAAGGGACATAGATTTACATTAAAGAGAACGTACTGCGAGAGGCACATTTAACTAAAGTGTTGAGCTGATATCAGAAATAAAGCATGGTGGTAATCTTCTGAACCCCAAGAGTCACACAGAGTGGATGGACTGTATGCCACAGTGTGTCAGCATTGGTACGGAAGAGCTGGTTGAATGTTAACAATCAATGTCTATTACATTGTCTATCCAAATCATAGAAATGTTACAAATGCAGACGATCCGTTACTCATTCAAATCATACTGTAAGAATTAAATAGAATTGCACTAAATAAATACAGAAACAGGCCATTCAGCCCAACTACTCTGTGCTAGTATTTACATTCCACAGGAAACTGTACAGAGAATCTGATACATATTCAGATTGCAGCGTTTCAGTTAGCATTTATCAAACACCCAAAAGTTTAATTTGAACTGACCAATATTTTTCGAAAGGAGATGACACTATCAAGGAGAGAAATAATGTCCTTCAAGTGTGGACCTTAAGTATGAAACAGAATAGTTTCTACCTGTTTTTTAAAGAATAACTAATGGGGCTACCCTGCTTTATTCATACGGTAACACACACAGAATCTCCTTAACTCTTGACCAAGCCTAACTCTTTAAAGCTAGATAACAAATGCATTGCAAACAAACAAGCACTTACCCCTTCAAAAAGGAAGCTGGAATAAGAGAAGTTTTCCCCAATACTCTTTTTAGAAGTATTCAAAATAAACTGTAGAAAATGCTTTTCTCAGACTACGCTTCAGGAAGCCAATTTTCCTCAGCAAAAACTGTCACATTTCTGTATAAGAACAATAGACTTACATGTGACTCACAATACACAACTAATTCTGATGTGGAAACTGCTGGTTGCTTGCACAAAGTTAACGCTGAGTTTTATAAACAGCCATAAATTGTTTCCTTGTGGAGTGAAGCCCTGTTTGCCTTATGCACGCTGAGGAAATGTTGTCAACAACAAACCCATTTTGTAATTAAATACAGCATCTTAAAGAAGCCTCTACACTTTGAGATGAGCTTTTAGACCAGCCAGAATGATCTTGCTGAATGTCACAATGACATTGAAATGAAGCATCCAGTCACAGTCAACTGCTGAATGCAGACCGTGTTACCTCAAGCCCATGAGAATTATCAATCCAATCGCATGTGTTGTTATGGCACAGTGAATTGTTTGTGCAATTATCCCATATTAAACAGAGGAGTGTGTCTAGTAATCCCTCAGAACAAGGATGATTCTTGCTCATGGCAGTCCTGAAGAAGGGTCCTGACCCGAAACGATGATTTTCCTGCTCCTCTGATGCTGCCTCACCTGCTGTGTTCCTCCAGCTCCACATTGTATCGACTCTGACTTTGAGCATCTGCAGTTCTTGTTATCGCCTAGACTGCTTATGGAGTTTTTTTTCATGTGGAGAGGCTGGTGTGCTGCAGTTACTACATGGTTCTGGGGCAGACCAGGAAACTCTGCCACCCTTACCACCTGCCATTGACGTAGCAGAATGAATTACACATTGATAATTCTTACATATTTTTATTTCTGTTGGGGCCAATTAGGCCTTGCCTAAATTCCCTACCACTAATCCCTTTTGTTGATAGAAGTTTAAGACACCAATACCATGATTTCACTTCAGATAGGCTCAATCTTTGAACAATAAAAACACGCTTCTTAGAAGCTAATTAAAGTACATCTGAGATACTCGATTGTCTACTGTGAGTACAAACACAGAACTGGTTAGCTCCTCCCAGTAACAGTCTGTGATAACCCCTACAAGGCTCATGGGGGAATCACTTATGAATCTCATTGAGTATGAGTTCCCTTGGTAAGAGGCAATGTCCTGACCAGCTAGAACTCATCACCTGAGCCCTTTAAAAAGGGCATAGAGAACTGTTTGTAAGTACAGAACATTTCCAGTACTCGCAGACAGCTCCTTGACATTGTCCTGTACAAATTGGCTTGTGAATGGGTGCCAGAACAGAACCTGTCTGCAACCCAGGGACAGCCTTTGTTAACAAATACTTGTCTGTATGATTCTAGTTCTCTGGATACTTAACTCACCATTCACAGCAGGGCCAAGGGCTTCCATGTTCCTCAGTACTTTAGCTGTCTTCAGTGCTCCTTTGCACCATACAAAGTAACACATCTGGAACTTTTAACATCGATTAAGGCTTCCAAATCTTTGACTGAAAACCAAGTATTGAATAGTTTGTGTAATCCTTCCATTTTTAACAGAGGTTTTTGCCTTTTGGGAACTTTGGCTCGTGTTATGTTATTTAACCACTTTCATCCAAGGCTGAGAATGAGCAGCCAACTGGGAGAAGAAGAGGCCACTCAGCTTGATGCACTTTTGGTTAGATTATGTGTGTTATGTAGCTTACCTTCACTTCCCTATCCATAATCACTAAAGCTAAGAACATCAGTTTTGAAATTTGCAATCAAACTCCAGACACAACAGCTATTTAGGAGAGAGAGTTGTAAACTTCACTACCTTGTATGTGAAGTAACTCCTGACATTACCCTCTAGTGGTAGATATAGTAGGAACTGCTGATGCTGGAGAATCTGAGATAACAAGGCGTAGAGCTGGATGAACACAGCAGGCCAAG